GCTGGAGAATGTTGTCCTCCCTGCCCGCTGCCCTCCTCGGTTCCTGTCGGGTGGCTCCTCTGCCCCAGCCCTGGTTCTCAGTGAAGCCCCAGGGGCACATTTCTCCCCCTGGTTTCCCCAGGAACCAGCAGAATCTGGAAGGAGTCCTTTCCTTCTGTAGCTGGATCCTGGAAGCCCTAATCCTGTGCACACCTCTGTAAGTATCATCCTTATCAGGAAGTGTGTTTAAGAACCTTACTGGAGGGGTGCCTGGGCAGCTCAGTCGTTAAGCGGCTGCCTTCTGCTCAGGTCATGATCCCAGGAGTCCTGGGATCAAGCCCCACATCGCATTGGGCTTCCTGCTTGGAGACCTGCTTCACCCTCTTCCAATCCTTCTGCTTGTGTTCCCTCTCTCCTGTGCCTCTGTCAAATAAAATCTTAAAAAAAAAAAAGAAAAAAAAGAACCTTTCTGGAGGAGCTGTCCCAGGGCTAGAACAGGCTGTGTTATTACTCGGTGTTCATTAGGTGCTGGGCATTGTAAGATATTGAACAGCACCCAGGACTCAAGCCCTAGGTGTAAGGAGCTCTCTTCCTGCCACCCATAATGGTCAGGACAACCCAGAGTGTCTCCAGGGAGGGGCAATGTTGCTCCCTTGAGGAACCGCCCCTCTGGGAGGAAACACAGGAGCCAGGGACCGTGGTTGTCTCTCGGGAGTGGGATGAGGCAGGGGTCTTGCTTTTCTCTTTTGTTCCCCTTCATAACTTGTTCCTGCTAAGCCTCTTTGAAAATGAGGAACTCACTAAAGCGAAAAGCTGGTAGTTAAAATCAGAACAGGTGGTGTGGGAAGTGGCCCACACCTTGTGTTTGTGGGTTCTCAAGGGGCTCTCAGTTGGATCCTATGGGAACTGCAGCTTCCTCCTGGAGAATTCTTGCATTGACTTTTTTCCTCTCTGCAAACACACTGGTAACTCAGCCCCTAGACCTTTGCTCATCTCTGCCCTCTGCCTAGATTCTCTTCTAAGACCTTCACCTCCTCAGAGAGGCTTTCCACTGCCACCTTTGGCCCCTTGGCCAGGGGCACCCACGGTTTTCCTTACCACCCCTTACTTGTCATGTATCCCATTTATTTATTCTTGTCCATTGGCTTAGTGTCTTCCTCCCCCATGGGACTCTAAGCTCCCTGAGGGCAGGGACTTTGTCTGCCTTGATGGGTGCTATGCCCTCCATGCCTCACACACAGTAGGGCTCTCAATACATTTTTTTGGAAGAATAACTCCTTACCCTCTTCACTGGCTTCCTCCCCGCAAAAGGTCAGCCAAGGTCACCCACTTTGTAATACACTTTCCCTTTTCCTGATGCTATCAGGTTCCTGGAACTGTGCTGGGTGTTAGTAACAGCAGCTGAAGACACTCACTGCCTGAGGCAGAGTGGGGGTGGTGAGGGTGTCCGAGCCCCGGCTCCCAGCTCCTCCACCTGTGTTCAATCAGGCAGGTTCCTTGTCCCTCTCTAGAGGATGTGCAAAATGGCCCCCACCTCACAGGGCTAGGGTGGGGATCAAATGCTGGGATGGCTAGTTTTTTCCATGAACTTGGCTGGACCAGAGTCCCCCATCAGTCAAACCCCAGCTACTGTTGCCCTGAAGGTATTTTGTACATGTAACTGACATCTCTAATCAGTTGAGATAATTCTCAATTATCTGGGTGGGCTTGACTCAGTCGGTTGAAAGGCCTTTAGAGCAGAACGGAGGATTCCCAGGAAAAGAAATTCTGCTTGGGGACAAGAGATCCTGTGCCCGAGAGTCTCCCGCCTGCCCGACAACTGCCTGTCTGGAGGACGTCAGACCTGCCTAGCCCCACAGTCACATAAGCCGATTCCGTGCAATGAATCTCTTAATATGGGTCAGCTACTGATTCTGTTTCTCGGGTTGAAAGCTGATGGATACAAATGGGTCTTAACATGCTAAGAACAGGACCTGGTGCACACACAGAGCTCAACAAACATGAGCTGCCATCCTGGTGGCCCCAGTGCCCTGCTCAGTGCCAGGCAGCCATGAACACATTCCCAGCTCACAGTAACACATGATGTTATGCTCCCATTCTGTAGATGAAGCCGGGAACGGGGTGCATGATCAGCCCACACTCAGGGCGGTGCTGGGATCCCATCACCGGTAGCCCAGCTCCACAGCCCTGTGGCCGGCCACGAAGGTTCATGAGCCCACAGCCCCACTGCAGTGACCGGTGAGGATCCCTAACCAGGAGAGGAAGGGACAGTGGCAGCCCTGTCCTCCACCATCCTCCAAACCTAGCAAGGTGCAGGCACAAGAAGGGTTAACTGAGAAGGGAACCAGATGGGGGCTGTTGAATGAGAATGAGATGGGTGGGGGGTAGGGACTCCCTCCCAGAGAGATTCCTTCCCCAGCCTGAACTGCAGCCTTCAGTAGAAGTCATCCTGATGGACAGGGCTCCCAGGAGTGGGCAGGAGAGGGCAGAAGTGGGGGAGCAGGTGGGAAGGACCCTCCCCTTTCTGAATGTCAGCTTCCTTGTGGGAAAAGCTGGGGGACCAGCTCCTGTCTCATAAAGGTATGACCTTGGGGAGGTTTCTCCCCCTTCCCACCCCCCTGCCCCCGGAGGGAGGTTTCTTAAGCTCTCTGGGCCTCAGTTTCCTCCTCTGTAAAATGCGCTTGACCACCAGACCTGTTGCCCAGTGCTGCTGGGCTCCGTGCATGAAGAAGGCCTGAGGGCTCGGAGGGCACTGGGTGCTGGCCAGTGCCATCGTCGTGGTTGTGCTGTCATCTCCTGAAGGAATGAGGGAGGGCTATTTATAAAGTCCACCTCCCCCATGATCTCCTCCTCAGGTGGAGTGAGGAAATAGCAAGATTTGCCCAGTGACATGAGTGACTGTCATATCACAATCAGAGACCAGAGGTTTGTCCTGGAGAGTGAGTAGTCACCTCAGGCTAGATGGGGACAGAAGCATCCTCCTCTGATGAATAAAGGTTCTCAGCAGCTTGGGCATCCATCTCTGAACCTCAGTGGTCCCCCACTCACAGTCCCCTCCCCCCAAGGCACCTGTGACTGGGAGGGACCCATGCCGGTGTCCCTGCAGGGCTCAGCATGAGTGTGGCACTTGGGGGCCCTGGGAAAACGTGTATTAGATGAGGAACAGAGGGAGTGGGTGAGAGAGGGGTGGCAACGGAGGCAGAGAGTGACGAGGAGGGGTGGGTGGTGAACCAGAGACCCCGCAGGGCAGCTGCTCCTTGGTCAAAGATCCACTTTCCAACCTCATCTTCATTTGTGGAGCTGCTGCTGGCTCCCTGCCACCCACCCATGGGGACAGCATGTTTTTTTCCTGAGCTAGGTATCCCTGAGTCCGTAACTGGCAGGCTGCTGGGCCTCCGAAGCTGAGCTGGAGGGTGCTGTCCCTGCCCTGTGTGTCCTTCAGGCAGCAGTCCCTCTTGCTTCTGAGAGCCGGCTGGATGATGATTGAGACCCAAGAGCAGGGGAGCTTCCTCTGGCCAGCCTGGGGTGCCCTGACTGGCTCATTCCTTCCTGCTGTTGCCCCCTGCTTGTGCTGCCCTCGCTGGAGCACCCCAGGTCCCCCGCTTTCCGTCCTGTGGCTTCTCAGCTCCCAGCATGTCTGCCCAGATCAGGGGGCAATGCTCCAGCTCCCAGTTCTCCCAGTCATGCTCCCTCTTCCCAGTACTGGCCCCTGCCCCTCCCTGATGCCCCCTGTCTGCAGCCTTGACCCTGCAGGCCGCAACCAGACCCGGGAAGGCCTTGCGGGCAGGACATGAACCTCACTCACCGGTGTCCCCAACCCAAGGCCTGCCACATGGGGACGCCACAGCTGTTTGTGGCAACACCTATGAATGAATTCCTGGAATGTCCTTCTCTGTCTAAATAATTCTTCCTCATCCTTCCAGACCCAAGCCTCTGCCCAGGGTCTGGGGATTCTGTTTCCACTGCAAGTCATTTGTATTCTGAATGACAATACCTTTGGGCAGGAGGTGTGTTTAGAGGAAAGGTGTCTCCTCCATGTCTATGGTTCTGACGAGACTTGCAAATGATAGGTCCACATATGGCTTTTCGGGGGCCCATGCTGCATTTTAAAAACAGTTACTAACAGTTCGAATCCAGAAATTTCACACTGGAATCTAGATGTCTGGATTCTTCTGAAAACAAATAAATAGATAAATAGATAAAAGAGAAACCAGAAGACCCAGCAGATTTCATTCCTGCTGAGGGAGGGGACAGGTAAGAGTCGGATCTGAGTTCTCTGCTGCCCCCTTCAGGTGGGACACTTGCTCTCAGGACCACTGGGTTCCCATATGGACCAGGGGCACTCATTTTGTTACCTGCCCGGCCCCTGTGGGCTTTTGAGTTTGCAGCCTCCACACCGTAAGTCTTATAAGGTCAGGAAAAAATCTCCAGGGGACAGGGACAACTGCTCCAGGGAGCAAGGGTCCTGGGTTGGAGGAGGGGTGTCCTGGGCTGTGCAGTCTTATTGCGTGGCCTGAGGCACTGTGAGACTGTTTCCCTATTTGCAACGTGGGGGTGTGGAGGACGGGGCCGTGATCTCCAGTGTCCCTGCAGAGAGACCTCTGGGCTTCTTTAGTGTTTCAGGCGCTTACCTTCCACGGGTCTCAGTTTCACTCTGCAGAGTGCGGAGGCTAGCTTTGCTTGGCAGTGCCTGAAGCTGCAGGAGGGTCACTGTTACTCTGGGTCACAGTGCCCGTGTGGACAATAGCGTTAGCCCATCTACTAGTGCTCTCTCCCCCCAGGGTCCCGTGTATGTCACCTGTGGTCCTGCGCGTTGGCAGGCTTGCCCAGACCACGTTGCTCAAGGGCAGAGAGCAGGCAGGTCCTTGGTTGGGGAGGGGACTGACAAACAGGTCTGGCTCATGGGAGTCCTTGTGGGGTGAACGCGTGAGCTCCTGGTGCTGGCTTCTGGTCTTAGAGTCTCTGGATGGAGATACTGCTCCTGCTCTGTAGGTCTGGGAAGTCTGACCAGGCTGGTGGAGCTAGGCGTCTGAGAGCCACGCGTCTGTCTTGATCCGTCTGGGAGCTTCCTTGCCCGTGGTCAGTCCTGGCTTAAGAGCCCTAGACTGTGGGAGAACAAGATCCTGGCGTTCTTCTGCCTTGGCCAAGCCCTTCTCCTCTCTGGGTCCCCCCCAATGGAGGGCTATGACTAACTCCTTGATGCCTGTGTCACCGGCTGAACCGTGCCCTCCCCCTTGTAAGCCCCTTCCCCCTACAATTCATATGTTGAAGCCCTAACCCGAAGTACCTCGCACTGACTTTATTTGGAGACAGGGCCTTTAAAGAGATGATTAAATTAAACTGAGGCCATTAGCGTGGGCCCTAATTCGTTATGACCTGTGTCCTCACATAAAGAGATCAGGACACAGACACGTGCACAGGGAAGGCCACGTGAGGACACAGGGAGAAGTTGGCCGTCTATAAGCCGATGGGAGCGCTCGCAAGGAACCAGCCCTGCGGACACCTTGATCTTGGTTTTCTGGCCTCTGGATCTGTGAAAATGCCCGCTGTCTAAGTTCCTGAGTCTGGGGCACTTTGTTATGGCAGCCTTGAGCAGACTAATAATAATAAGGCCCACGCCCTAGTATTTTCTGTTCACTCCCGGAAGGGCAGCAGCCACTTGTGGCCAAGTCTGCCTTCCCACCTGGGGCAGGGGCTGGGCGCAGAGCCCCTCAGGCTCTTCACCATCCACAGCAAAGGGGACTCTGCTGCTGGAAGGGGACTCAGCTTGAGGCACCAGGCAGACGCTCGGGTAAGGCCCAGTCCTGCCAGTGGCCACGTCAGAATGAGTCCGAGACATGGCTGGCAGTGCACAACCTCTGGGCTCTGACCCTGAGGGGTTGGATTTGCAAGTCTAGGGGTCCCGGACAATCTTTGTTTCTAAAGAGTGTTCCCTGGTGGTGTCAACAGGCAGTGGGTGAGTTCAGGCAGCATGTGGAAGTCAGCTGGCCTCAGCTGGGCAGCAGTCTCTCTGGTGTCTGTCCCAGCCCAGGGACTTACCTCCAACTGATGCTCAGTGCTTTTGGCTTCAGACTTCACAGCTGTTTCTGGCTCTTCCAGCAACTCTGGTATCTGGATAAGTGGGGCCTCTTTAGCCTTGGAAATGTGTCTGTCCTCCCACCATTGAAGCATCTTCATTCTAAAGTAATGAGCCCCGTGGTTAATACTGTGCTCCGTCTCCCCGTCCCCTCCTTGTTCCCAGAAGGAGCCCTAGGCTGGGGGTCAGAAGACCCTTTCCCTCCATTTGCTAGTTCTGTGACCAGCAACTCCCTCTCCTCCTCTAACAGGCATACAAATACCTACTCTGTTGGCCTGGATCTTCTTCCTAGCTTCTTTTCCAGCCTCCTGCCCCAGAACTGACCTGCACCTCCCCTGCTCCCAGCCATCCCATGGCTCCCCAGCACCCCCATGACAAAGTCCCAGCCCTCCCCAACCCAGTCCCTTCACGGTGGTGCCTTTCCTCAGCTTCTCTCCCAGACCTGTGATGTCTCAATATGTATATGACTTTTTTTTCTAGACTAATTTTTTACACCTTTTTTCTTTCTTTCAATATTTCCACTGTATCTGTGCATATTGGTACATTAACAGCTCCTTAGTCTTTTTCACAGTTGCGTGGTGCTCTGTTGTGTAGATGTATCATTGGTTACATAACTGGTTCCCTTCCTTTCTTGCCCTGGCAACTGCAACTGCCCTGCTCGTTGGTCCCCCGGCTTTGCTCAGTCTGGCTCTTCCCCGGGAGTGGGAATGCACATGGGATTTTGTTTGTATTCAGCTGTGATGAAGCTAACAGATTGGGGAATGGCTGCCATTGAATAGATAGTTTGTTATTCAAAGTTCCCAAGAGTTGGGGCATCTGGGTGACTCAGTTGGTTAAGCATCTGCCTTTGGCTCCGATCATGATCCCAGGGCCCTGGGATCAAGCCCTGTGTTGGGCTCCCTGCTTAGCAGGGAGTCTGCTTCTTCCTCTCCTTCTGTCTCTCCTCTTGCTTGTGTGTGCTCTCTCTCTCCCTGACAAATAAGTAAATAAAATCTTTAAAAAAAAATCTCCAAGTTCCCAAGAGGGGCACACCATGCCACACAGGGCCACACGGGGAAGCTCCAGGGTTGGTCAGGGAAGTAGAAGGGGGAAGCACATGTGGGAGCTTTTATTATGGTTTCTATGGGACTGGAATGGCACAGTAGGCAAGTTTAGGACTGGCCCACCAAAGTACCTCACCCACCTGGACATTAGTCAAGGATGGTCCTGTGACTGAAGCAGGGACAATCAGAGGCTTCTCTGGACTGATATATCCTCAAGAGGAAGACAAGTCCTGTCTCAGCTAGAGTTGCTGAGATAGGATACAATCATGTGCCTGCTCCTGGCCATCTTGCCACTAGGTGGAGAGAGCCTCCAGGGGTCAAGTACACACAGAAGGAAGCAGAGCAAAGGCACGGGGACAGCAGACTCTTAATAATGTCATTTGCATACCTAGATCCAGTCATGTCTGAAGTATAGATACTCCCCATTATGGGCTGAATTGTGTCTTCCTCATCCCACCCAATTCATTCCAACACCCAGTACCTCAGAATGTAACTGTTTTTGAAGAAAGGACCTTTAAAAAGGTAATTAAGATAAAATGAGGTTATATGGATGGACCCTAATCCATGTGACTGTACTTGGATAGGACCTTCAATGAGGTGATTAAGTTAAATTGAGGCTTTTAGGTGGGTCCTAATCCAGTATGACTTGTGTCCTTGTAAGAAGAGGGACAGGTGCCTGGGTGGCTTAGTCAGTAAGTGGCAGACTCTGGATTTTGGCTGAGGTCATGATCTCAGGGTTGTGGGATGGAGCTCTGCACTGGGCTCTGTACTCAGCACAGTCTGCTTGTCCTTTTCCCTCATGTCCTCCCCCAACTCATTCTCTCTTGCCCTGTCTCTAAAATAAATAAAAACCCAGGGTGCCTGGGTAGCTCAGTGGGTTAAAGCCTCTGCCTTGGGCTCAGGTCATGATCCCAGGGTCCTGGGATCAAGTCCTGCATCGGGCTCTCTGCTCAGCGGGGAGCCTGCTTCCTCCCCTCTCTCTCTCTGCCTGCCTCTCTGCCTACTTGTGATCTGTCAAATACATAAATAAAATCTTTAAAAAATATTAAAGTAAATAAAAATCTTTAAAAAAAAAGGAGAAGAGGGACAGACACCAGGTGTGTGTGCGCACAGGAATGATCATGTGAAGTGGTAAGAGGGTGGCCATGCGCAAGCCAAGGAGTCTTAAGAGAAAGCAATCCTGCTGACACTTGGATCTTGGGCTTCCAGCCTCCAGAACTATGAGAAAATAAATCTCTGTTGTTGAAGTCTTAGACTTAACAGATGGTCAATATGTTCCTGTAGCAGATTATGTACAGATGGCTGCAAATTTCTGGCACTCCTCCCATGGAGAAATGGAGTCTATTTTCCCTTCCCCTTGAATCTGTGACTTGTTCTGAGAGAATATGATGGAAGTGACATTCTATCAATTCCAGACCTAACCTTAAAAGAACTGGCAACTTTGCCTTGGAAGGGACCATGACAGATGAGGCTCTAACACTGCATGGAAAGCAAGAGGGGCCCAGGTGAGCCCCATCCTCTGGCTGTCCACAGCAAAATGCCAGGCATGTGAGTGAAGGCATCTTGGACCCTCTGCCCTAGCCCAGCAGCTAGCTAAATACCACCAAGTGACCTCAGTGGATACCATAGGAAGCTGAAGAATCATTCAGTTGGGCCCTCAAATTCCTGATCCGTGAAATTGTGCGATATACTAAAATGACCATTGTTTAAAGTCACCAAGTTTAGGGGACTATAATATAGCAACAAATAGCCATAACTGTTTCCTTTTTCCTTGAGCTTGCTGAATTCAGCTCTTATTACTCACAACTGGAAGAGTCCTAACTAATGTGACTTATCTCCTTTAACCATTATCCTTCATGCATTATTCCCCCAAACTTTTCCACCTATGACAGTTTAAATCCCAATACTCTGCTGTGCCTCATTCTGTCCTATTTAGCTTCCTTATGCTCTCTTTCAGTCTTCGGTTTCTGTTCCTTGACCTCACAGATGGAGGCTTCAGATCCAAGATACCACATTCCCTAGCACCTTGGTTTCTCTTCCTTTTTTCCCTGCCTCACCGGGAACAATGGCTACCCACTCGAAGTGCTCTTTCCCCCAGCTTTCATATCTCTCTGGTGTTCCACCCCATCATCCTTCCATGGCATCCTGCCTGCAAATTCCCAAATCTAGATCAATTCCACCCTTCACTCTTTCTCTTCCAATGACCACTACTGGGAGGAACCATCACACAGCAATGACATTGTTGCCGCTAATAGTGAACAATCTCCAGTCACCATTGGACCTTTGCTGCTGGTCACCAATTATTTCCCTTGTCTTCATGTGGATCCCACTCATTCTTCTCAGTGGCTATTCCAATCACCTCATCACCATCACCACTTTTCTTGATCCCTTCCCCTCACCCCTGCTCCCACCCATATCTTTCAGCAGATGGCTTCACCATCCTCCTTCACTGTGAAAAAAAAAAAGCCCATGGGTAGGAGGGCCTCACCCCACCCACCAGAATCATAAATGCTACCTAATGTGAACAAGAAAAATACAGAACATCTGCCATTGGATTTTGGGAATATTTCTGAGAATAAGGATAACTGACTGCTTTAGACAGTGCCATTTCAATGGCGTGGTGCTGGTGAGCAGATTGTAGGGGACTGACGAATGTAAGGGTGATGAGAATCAGGCAGTGGGAGTAAGCTCTTCTCTCAAAAAAAATTGGATGGTACATAGAGGGTGTTTGTGGGGCTGAGGTTGGAGAGATTTGGGCACGTTTATACTCTTCAGAGAAAGAACTGGTGAAGAAAGAATGACTGAAAATTTAGGAGACAGAAGAGATGATTAATGGAGTGTGGAGGAGATGGAGTCCCAGGCAAAGGAGGTGAGGCTAACCTTGGACAGGAAGACGGATGCCTCTTTCTCTGAAAAAGGCAAGAAGTAAATCACCAGTGCCAGTGGCAATAACTCTGTAGGTGTTGGGGAGTTGCTTTTTTCCTGTGAAGTAGGTAAAACTTGTTGCTGAGTGAGGGGAAGGAGATAAGAGAAGAAGGGAAGGAAAGAAAACACCTGTAATACTGATAAGGCGTCATATTGGGAAAGGCTCTCGGGGGGGGGGGTGTGGGAGGATTTCTTTTCTTTTCTTTTTTTTTTTTAGATTTATTTATTTTAGAGAGAGAGTGGGGAGGAGGGACAGAGGGAGAGGGAAGGAAGCAGACTCCCCATTCAGCAAGAAGCTGATGTGGGGCTTGATCCCTGGATCCTGAGATCATGACCTGAGCTGAAATCAAGAGTCAGACACTTAATTGACTGAACCACCCACGTGTCCTGTGTGGGAGGATTTCTAGGCAGTATGGATGCCACCCTCCCCTACAAGGATGGAGATTCTGAAGGGTGGGGTCCCCTTAGTATCTCCCTTGTATGGACCTTTAACCTAGCACTTGCTTACTTGTCTATATTCCTAGAAAATGCAGGACATAGGGCAAAAGGACAAACAGAGGAAAAAAGAAAATCTGAGAAATATTAAATGAGAAGCCCACAGTGAAAGGAAATGATGGAGGTAACAGACATGAGAGCACAGATGAAAGAGGCAAAGCAGATGTACCTAACAACAAACAAAACAGATACCCACACTTAGTCACATCAGAGTAGAACCATTAGCACTAATACTATCCAAAAGCCCAGATGGCTGTGGGGGCCCTGAAAAGGCACCCAGCCCAGTGCCAGGGAAGGTTTCCTGGAACACATGGTGGAAAGGCTGTGAGCTGAGCCCTTAATGATGAGTAAATGTCAGCCTGGTGAGACAGGGGAGCAGGGATGGGAGGAGAAGTGCAGAGAAGGGCACTGGGCAGAAATCACAATACAACTAGAAAAGATGAACTTGATTTAAAGCCTATGTATCTGAAAAAAAGAAAAAGCCTATGTATCTGTTGAAAACAGTCTTCATCAAGTGTAGAATACACATTCTTTTTAAGCCTGTGTGGAATGTTTATAAAAACTACCACAAAGAAAATAAAGAATTGAAATAATTCATAGTATTAAATCCACTTATTGGATTTAAGCTAGAAATAAAGAAAACAGGATCATTAGAATACATCGGTATGTCTAAGAAAAACTCTCCTGGGTTAAAAATCAAAATGGAAATTAGAACTATTTTAACCAAGTGATACTAAAATACTTTATACCAAAGTTTGTGAGATGCAACTAAAGTCGTGCTTAGAGGGAAATTGATAGCCTTACACTCACATATTGGGAGAAGAAGAATGGCTAAATTAAATGATATAAGAGACCATGTTAAGGGGGCAAAGAAGAACAGATTGGAAGGATTATAATGAAGGAAATAAAGAACATAAATAAATGTAGTAGGTGTTGGAAAAGGCTTGATGATGAATTTTAACCTGATACTCACATGAGGAGGACAAGGAAGAAGAAGAACAGTGCGGAGATGATGGATCCATACACGATGCCCTGGGTCAGCCCTTTCACGTACACACTGGAACCTGAATGCTTATCTGGAATCAGAGGGAAGTGAGAGTGGTATTTTTTTTTTCCTCCTAAGGCTGTGCAGTCTGAGCTACCACTCTTTCCTCTGGCCCTGCGCCCATCCTCATTTTGATCCCCCGGTGTTGTTGTTCTAGCCCAGTCAGTAGACCCCTGTGTACCGACCTGGTAGGAGGAAGACACGTGAAGCATGGATTCCATGTTGGTTCTTCCCCTCACAGCGGAGATTCATGAGTATATCTGGCTCCCCAGTGAGGCTAATGGTGCTGTTGTTCCAGGCACCAATTACCGTGGAAGTCACCTTGAAGATGCTATTTGTGTTGTTGACACTCACAGGAACACCTTCCAGCAACCACTGCACAGAGGGTGTGGGGAGCCCATGGAAGGAACAGCTACACTGCAGAGTCTTCTCCAAGGAACAAGAGGAATTAAGCAGCCTTGTGGGTGCTATGGGGAGAGAGGGTCAGCTGTCACCAAGGCATCCTGACTTCCTTTCTCCACTTTCTCCTTTTCCTTATTCCTATTCTTATTCCTGATTCCCAAGGAGCTTCGGAAAAACTTTCTGGAAGCCCAGAGAAGCTGGGCTTCTCAGACCAGTTTCCCTTCATCCTCTTCCTCACCTGTGTCTGATTCTTGTTCAGCTCTTACCTCTGGTCTTTCAGCTGCTGAAGCCTGGTAAAGATGTGACAGCTTGCCAGACTCCTCCCACCCAACTCTGCCCCAGGACTCGGGAATTTCTCCTGAGCCCACCACTTCTCCCAGACTCTGGATCTTCCTTTGCCCACCAGCACTCACAGATCACTTGGAATGCAACCTCAGCACTTCCAGAGAACATAGCAGGGGAGAAATTCAAATGACATCTGAGGGTGGTGTTATAATCCTGAGGCTTCAGGGTGAGGTACAGTAGTAGGAGGAGGAGTTGCTGGAGCCATCTGTGCTGGTGAACATGGTGGGCCAATTCCAGGAAAGGAAAGGGGCTTTGTTTTCTTTTCGGTGCCTTTAATGGTACAAGTCAAGATCATAGGATCCCCAGCCACGAGAATCTCTAGGATGTGGAGCTCTGGTTTCTGGGTCTGCCCTGAAGGGAAAGACAGATTGGACTGAAACGAGGGATCCTCATGGATACTTCAATGACCCACAGTGTCTCCAGGTTACAAAGCATTTTCTCACCCATAAGTTCACCTGGTACCCCCTCCCCACTCTGATAACCTCATGGAACCTGATACTGTTACTGTTGGATATATTTTCACATGGATATTTCCCTTCTCTGCACTATCTAGGTGAGCAAACTGAGGAGACTTCCTTAAGGAGGCAGAGCTTGAACCTGAATCCTGGACTCTCAAGCCTAAGGGTGAGAGAATTTTCTGAGATCTACATTGCCTCTGATTCCTTACCCGTCCCCCAGCCCAGACCTCCTAGGGTCAGTTCCTACAGTGCATCTTCCCTCCCAATCCAACCCTCCCCTCAGGCTCTGCCCCTTTCCAGCAGATCTGTGATTGCTGTCCACCTCTTACTCTTACTGCTGTGATTCCCTGTCCACCTCTTACTTGCTGGATGGTGTGGGGCAAGTCACTTTCCCCCTCTTTTTATTTCTGTTTGGAAAAATAAAGTTATCAATTGTACCATATCATTGTATTATTGTAAAAATGAAATACCTAGGATTTTATAAAGCTCTATGAAGTAAAAACCACACAATTACCAGAACATCTTCTTGGAGTTCCTCCTTTACAAACCACCCATTTGAATGAGATTGTCATCTGATATGGAGAGTTTTATATCCTCCTATAGGAAGGACTCTTGTGTTCTAGATCTGCACAGAATAAGTACGTCATGGTGTCCCTTTTAAGTACATTGTGGATCAGCAGGGTACAGTCTTGTTCGTCAAGATTTCAAATAGTGTGGAATCTGCCCTTGGTGTTATTATCTATGGTAGCACTGGGTTGATTTATAGCTACACAGGACCTGATATTTTTATTGAGCCAGTAGGCCATGGGCACAGAATTGCTTGGGGATTCCTTGGGAAGTTCAAATATTCAAAGGATTACACATCTTCTACTTGTATCTTCTTGAGTTCCACCAAAACATGAGAAAGTAACCTAGTGGGGAGGGATTTAAGTTGAAAAACTGACTAACCTAGTGTCCTCCAGTATCCCACTTGTGCATTAAAGGATTAAGCTTACCTAGAAAGGTTTGACCCTTTCCCAGCTCTAGGGAGGTAACCTCTAAGCCCTTGGAATGTCCTCCTGATAAGAGTGTCTATTACCTAGGGCCATGGGTCATGCCGGATAGTCTATATGAACAAAGTGATTTATGGAGCGGACCTTGGGCCATATGTGGTAACAGTTTGACCTCTGGAGGAGCTAGAGACTAAGGTCAGCCATGCCTATGGGACCAGGCCCCCAGTAAAAACCCTGGACACTAAAGCTGAGTGAGATTCCCTGCCTGGCAACACTGGGCATATTGCCAAACATTATTGCTAGGAGAAATAAATACTGTATGCACAACTCTACTGGGAGAAGACAGCTGAAAGCTTATGCCTAGTCTCTCCAAATCCTGCCCTTCATGCCTCTTCCCTCTGCTGATTTTAATCCCCATTTGTTTGCTGTAATAAATTGCAACTGAGAATATAACTGTTCTGCTAAGTTCTGTGAGTCTTTCTTGTGAATCATTGAACCTGAGGGTGGTCTTGTGGACTCCTAAGTGTACCACCACAATTTAGCCCGCTGGGTTTTTCTGTTGTTCTTAGTGTTGGTAGTAATTTTATCTTGCGAAGTTGGCCATGTAGCTCCATTTCTGAATCTCAGTTTCTCAATCAGAAAAATGGGCACAATATTACCAATACTACAGTGTTGTGGGAATTAAAAGATATTAACTAACGATGTACATAGTTCTCTATAATAATTGTAGACTGTAACTTAGCTGTTGGCTCTCACTGAACAAGTATTCTTTTCCCTGCTTTCTTCATTTCCCAGGTGAAAGGTCCCTTATGTATAAAATGGAGGGAGGCCGAGGCCACTTCTAGTAATGCCATCCTAAAATTACGGTTGTATTACTGACCTGTATAATTGTCTATAGATTTTCCAACACCTTCATAGAAATCAGTTTAAGCCATCCTGATAATGGTTTTTTATAGTCCCTTAGACAGGTGAGAAACTGGGGCTCAGAAAGGTTAAGGGCCTGCTTCAGGTTACAGAGAAAGGAGTAACAGCATCAACTAGAACCTGGTTTTCCACATGTTAAGTCCAGTATTCCAAAACATCACCACAAGGGATCTCAACACTCCTGGTTCTGGAACACCATGCTATTTCTCTTCTCTAAGACGTGACTTAATAATACCCACCATACAGATGATGGTGTTGAGAAAGCAGATGTGTATACATTTATCATTGAAGTTCTGGAGTGGCATGGGCATGGCATTAAAATGGAATTAAGAGTGAGAGGAGTTGGGCATTCCAATAGCAAAATTTCTAATGACTTGTGGCAAGTTACTGAATCTCCCAAAGCCTGTTTCCTCATCTGTGAAATGAGGACAATAATTCCTCAGGGAGCTTTTGGGTAGATGAAATGGGACACACTGTGAGTCAAAGAATATGCACATGGAAGATGTCTATTATTTATTATTTATCAAGTACTTAATTCTCTATGTCTTCACCTTACTCAGCCCTGTCTTCCACTCCCCACCCATACCCACCTCACCCCTACTCTTTTTTCACTTCCTCAGACACCTCCAACCCTGATTCTCATTCTATTTACCCAACCATAACAGTGGCAATGACATAAGCACCAACAGGATCTCAGGGACAAGAAAGGGCCAGGACCTATCCGGTTGCTAACTCAGGCCTCATCCATATGTTGTGGAGGGCAGGATTTGGAATGGATGAAGAGAGAATCAGCAATAAGAGGCATGGGGTAGAGGTTGAGGTAAATTCATAGCCTACTAGGGGCTTTTGTCTCTTCAACCACTCTTAAATTCTGTTTACCTTGAGAATTAGGAGCTTCGTGGGAACAGATGCTAAGGAATTTCAAGGATAGAGCAGAGTTTCCGAGACTCTCTCTGGAGCCCCAGTACCATGTCTTTCTTCTTTCTCCTCTAGTCATCACCCCCAGGTCCTTCCCTCTTTGAAGGACCTCAACTGCCAGACTGAGAAGCTTGACCTCTCTCCCAAGTCGATGGGGGAAGTCATGAAAATCACTTTCAAAGGTTTTGAACCATGGGGAACATATTTGGGTGTCATAAAGATCACTATGGCTCTGCATCAAGGAGAAAGAAATAGTTCAAGAGGAAGAAATAGTGGCCATGTGGGTGGAGAGGACAGAATATATTTAAGTAGTATTTAAGCAATAGAAGACATTTCTAGGTCAACAGGATAAATTCCAAACTCCTTTGCCTTGCATTTGAGGCTGTTCATGATTTTGCTCAAAAAGTTGCCCTATCTCCACTGCATCTTTCCCTAGCCTCTGCTATTCTTTGCCTGTCAAAGAGAAAAGTACCCTTCCACATATAGTTTATACATTCCTGTCTCTGTATGTTTACTTGGGGCACTCTTCTTTTCACTACATTCTTCTGCAACTCTCCCCTCTGCCCACATTCAATCCTAGCCCTCTTTCTAAGTCCAGGTCAAATGAACTTCCATCAGGTAGTCTTTCATGATCTCCACAACCAGAAAGAAGCCTCCATTCCTAGACTCACTTCAACATCCCTATCCATTCATCTCTTTTAGGGCAATGTCTCAGACAAACTCTGAGAAATGCCTACCTGATAACCACCCTCCTGTGTATACTTATAATTTCAAATTTGTTCGGATGATCAACCCCCAGTTAAAAACAAAACAAAGCAAACAAACAAACAACAACAAAAAACTTTATTTCTCTGCCTCCTCTATCTACATCCAGGAATGGCTCTATGATTGTTGTGGCCAACACAAGTACAAGTACAAGAAAAATGTCTTGTGTGGATAAAAGCCTATTCAGCATTTACCCTACTTTCTTTACCATTACAACTGAGCTCTGAAGGTCTGTTTTTTGCATATATTGCTAGCTAATGGAATTCCAGACCCTGGTTTTAAAAAAATAAGTTTTCATAATGAAAGGAAACAAGTCTTAGAAAGAATTGAAAAAGATGTTCACTTCCCCTGAAGCTATAAATCAAAAGATATTGTTTTGTGTTATAAAAGGACTCAAGGAATCTGATTTGATATTGTACAAAACTGAGAATGTTTATAAGAATATAATTTATGTTCTCCTTTGCAATATACAGTTTTGTATGAATATTCATGACTGTTGCTGACTTGTTCTGTTCTCTGTTGATACAAATCCGCCCTTGGAAGAACAATTTAAATAAAGTGATCTTATGAGACTCTAAAGACATTAGAAATTATTCCATGTCTTATGAAAATGATATCCAAATAAAATAGAATTCTGACCAATTGTCTTATTTGATAATTTCTTGCTCTGATAACAATAATATTGTAACTGACATGTCTGTTTTCTTAAATTGTACACCCATCTGTAGGACTGTACTCTTCTTTTCTCCCACATGTGCAATGCAAATAAAAACTTTGGACTCTGCTAGATTTATTATTAAGCAAATATTCTGAGAGACTTGTCTACTTAGAATACCAACCATGAGGCTACCTGCCAAAGACTTTTGAGATTTCTATTTTTCTGATATCAGCACTAGTTTCTCTTTGCTGCTTTCTTCTTTTTCAAAACCTGTCCCTTCTTGCTCCTTCTCCTCCTCTTTCCCTGGAATATGGATGTGATGCTGGAGGTGGAGCAGCCATTTGACAACCATGAGATAACCATAAAGATCCAAGCCACAGACTAAGGATACCGTAAACAACAATATAGTGGTCCTGGTTCCCTGACAGCTTTGTGGAGCTGCTACACTCACCTTGTACAGCCTACAAATATGCTTCCTCTTTATTCGGTTGTTGCTCTACTTGGGAAACTGGTCAAATATCCTACAGGGGAACTATCCAAGAGTGAGATTCTTGAGGAAAGATCCTACATCAAATAGATCTTTGTGTCCTCCAGGGTCTTAAAAAGGTTCTTGTCTGAAAAAAAATGTATAAGCACATATCTTGATGATTTTCCAACTATTAGTTTCCAGTTTAATTCCACTGGGGTCAGAAAACATACTTTATATTATTACAATTCATTTAAGTTTGTTGAGACTTTATAGCTCAGAATATGGTCTAAGTGTTCCAGGAGCTATTGAGTACAATGTGTATTCTATATTGTTGGATGGGATAGTCTATAAATGTCACTTAAGTCAATTTGGCTGATGGTATTTTTTTAAGATTTTATCTATTTATTTGACAGAGAGAGAGAGAGCACAAGCACAGGGGGTGGCAGGCAGAGGGAGAAGGAGAAGCAGGCTCCCTGCTGAGCAAGGAGCCCAGCCTAGGGCTCAATCTCAGGACCCTGGGATCACAACCTGAGCTGAAGGCAGATGCTTAACCAACTGAGCCAACTGAGTCAAACAACTGAGCCACCCCAGTTGCTGGTATTCTATATCCATACCATTTTTTTTCATCTGCTTGCTCAGTTACTGAGAGGGGAGAGTTGATTAGCCTAGTTCTCCTTTCAGTTAGATTAGGTCTTTTTTTATTTTTGAAATTAAAAAATTTAATTAGAAATTAATTCTCAGAATCTAATTGAATATAGTGATTTATTTACAACCTCAAATCAAAGATTAAGGAGAACTCTGGGGTGATTCCAGATAAGGCTTTGCCAGTAACTTGCTGGAAACTTTAGACAAGTGCTGTTCCCTCTCTGGTTTCCCCCCATTTTCCCCATCTGTAAAAGGAGCAGGTGTTATTGCCCATGTAATGGTCCTGCTGACTTCAAAATTATGATCTCTTCCAAGTCTCTTTCCCTTCTCCAGGGCTTGGTGCAGCCATGGGTTGTCTCCACAAGAAACCTCTTTCCTCTTCCCGCTAAATAATCATTTCCCTTTCCAGACTTACCCTCGTCTTGGGTGCCCACAGCTCCAGCCTGGACTGTCCTCAGCACGTCTCCACTCTGCTATTTCCGTGACAACTCAATGTCCTCCTTGAGTTTGGTTAAGGGCATCACGGGGACTTAGCCAAACTCACCATTGGCTGACTTACTACTTACAGGAACTTACTTTCCAGAGGGAGGAATTGATTGGCTGATTTAATGGCTTCCTACAACCCAGATCAACTGACAAGTGCAATAAGCATGTGTACAACTACTGAGTGACTCACTGGGAAGGGACTAAGGTACAGGAAACCTAACTGATCAGCTCACTCATAACAAGTTCATTAGGTGGCACTTGAGTCCCCAGCCTCACCAACGTCCCAAGGGCCTGAGGTCACGTGGGGATGTTTCTCCCCCAAAGCCCCGCCCCTCAGGCATACCAATAAGCACGTGTGAATCTCTCCAGAACCAATCAGGGCCTGAGGATGCGCGTGGGGGCTGCTGGGACAGGGAGAAACCGTGAAGTAGAACCGTTGGTCTCCTGCGCTTGAGGGAGCTTGGAGTTATTGGTGTTTCGTTTATCTTGAGCCAGAGGTTCGAGACCCCTGCCGGCCCTGGAGACGTGGGACAATCTGTAAGGAACACTCCTCCCTCAAGCCAGTACTTGTGGGCAAGCAGGTGATGGGATGGATTGAAAGCCATCTACAAGGAACAAAATGCCAAGTGCTTGACCCTCAGGGCCCATCAGAAGGCATCTTGGTACCCCTTTTCTTTCCTGCAAGTAGGGTCTCCTTCACCAACGAACCGAGACACCTGAGGAAGACCCAGTTCTCCATTCTCTGTCAAAACTTATCGCAGGGGGCGCCTGGGTGGCTCAGTGGTTAAGCCTCTGCCTTGGGCTCAGGTCACGGTCTCAGGGTCCTGGGATCGAGCCCCACATCAGGCTCTCTGCTGGATGGGGAGCCTGCTTCCCCCTCTCTCTCTGCCTGCCTCTCTGCCTACTTGTGATCTCTGTCAAATAAAATATATATTTTTTAAACCCATCTCCGACCTATTCCCAACCCAGTTCCCATCCTCTCTCCCGTTTCTCTTCTAGATGGCTTCTCCACTCCTTAGGAGCCCGCTTTCTGAAATTACAAAGCACACAAGGAAATAACCCTCTCTCCGTGAGTGAGGATAAAACTTAAACTTCTCACCAGAGCCTTTGAAGCCCTGAAAGGCCTGGCACCTCAGGATCTCACCCTTCCATCTGGGCTCGGGTGCATAGATCCCCTTTCTGGGCTCTTGGATTCACTAAACTTCTCCTATCCCAGAGCCTAGAATCTGCTGACCCCCTAATAATCCTTTCGGCCTCAGCACAAATGTCACTTTCTCAGAGAGGCCTTCTCTAATTCTCTAATCCAAACTAGGTTCCTCCCCTGGTCCCTTATATTTTCTCATAGTGTTAGGTCCTTTTTCTTCCTAGCACTTGTCAATATTTTAAGCTGCAATTTTGCATTTATTTCTTCATTGTGAACCTGTGTAGACCACGAGCTTCATGGAGGCAAGGCCAGTGTCTGGCTTGTTCACCTCATTATCTGGCACAGTGTGTGCTCCTGTCTCTGTGGAATGTGTGAACCGCATGCCAAAAGGGTGTCCATACATGTGAGGGCTTATATAAACATCTGCTCTTGCGTACAGGATAACCATCACATTAGTGCTGGATGGAGAACCATTGGATTTACACACAAATAATGCCCCAAGGAAGAGATGACCCTTTTTGCAGCCTCTAAAAATTGCCAGCATCTTGCACCAGAAGGGAATGTCATCCATTCTGAGGGGAACAGTACACAGCTATGGCCCATTCTCATGCCAGATTCTTGTTCTCATTCCTTGTGTGCCTACCTTTCAGCCTGGCCAAGAAATATTCCACTGACCTCCTAAGTGGTCTCTTTGCCTTCTGTCTTCTTCTAAGTACATCTTCAATAACTACTCCTAGAATGATCTTTCACTACGTATCTGGCCACTACTTTTTTTTTTTTTTAGTTTCAATGGGAGAATTTAGTGATTCATTAGTTGCATATAACCCCAGTGCTCATTACATTGGTGTCCTCCTTAATGTCCATCACCCAATTACCATTTCTCCAACCAACCTCCCCTCCAGCAATGCTGTTCGCTAGAGTTGTCTCTTATGATTTGCATCCCTCTCAACTTCCATTTTATTTTTTCCTTCCCTTCCCCTATGTTCATCTGTTTTGTTTCTTAAATTCCACATATGAATGAAATCATATGGTATTTGTCTTTCTCTGACTGACTTATTTCACTTAGTATAGTACCCTCTAGTTCCATCCACATCATTGCAAATCCGGCCACTACTTTGCTTCAAACCTTGCAACAGCTTATAATCCACCCATCCACCCCTCCATTCATTCACTCAATCATCCAACAAACATTTTTGAGAGTCTGTTATATTTTAAGAACCATTCTGGGTGCTGTTGGTACAAGCAGAAAACAAGACAAGATCCCTGTTCTTGTGGAACTTACATTCTAAGGGAGTCAGGATTAAGATCCTACCAGATAAAGCTCCAATGCCTTATCTTAGCATTCAGGGACCTCAGGAACTCAGCCTTCCATCTAAGCTCCAGTTCATAGACTCCCTCTAGGCCCTTGGACTCACTTTGTGTCTTTTCTCCACCTCTACCTCGGGACATCACCTTTCACTCACTCACCACCCATGTATCTCTCAGGGCAGTGGTGAAAGGTCTTATCCAAAGACATATAGCCACTAAGCCCTGAAGTTGGTATTCAATCTATGTATGATGGGTCTAAAGCCTGAGCATACAGTAGGGGCTCAAAAGCTACTTTTCGGTGGACCATGGTCTCACATTAATTTTCCCTTCTTTTGACACCATCCCAGGCCAGAGCATATTTCTTCTAGTTAACCTGAATAGCAAATCATAGAGTTTGCTGTCAAATGTTCTAAGACCAGGTCCCAAAGTAACCCTATTCAATGGAGAACCAGTGTGAGGGAAAGGTGGGGCTTTAGGGATCTTTGGGATTGTCATAGACTCCAGGGTTTCTGGGGCTGCTGAGAATTTTGTAGACTGTGATAATTCCATGGACAGTGGGGACTCCAGGTAGGCATGTAGTCTTCACAGGTGTCATCAGTTCCAGTTTATTTTGCTTTTTCTGGAAGTTTAGGGTAAGGGATGCTACAGAGCAGGGCAAAGAAAGAAGGATGTTGGAACAGGTCTAGAGGTGAGGTATCCAAATCTTAAAAAGGAAATTTCCTGTCTCTCTCTTTGAGCACAGAATTACAGTAATGTGGAGCAAGCACTGGCTTTACCTTTTCTCAGAATCTCATGGCTGGAGTCTGCAACCCTGTCTTCTGCTGGTCCTCCATGTGCATTCCCAGCACCAGGAGCCCACCCAGTGTTCCTCAGACTCCTCTGGGAGGTTCTGCCTGACTTCCCCAGGTAGGGTTAGTCCCTCCTTCCTCTTGGCAACCATAACCCCCATCTCAGCCCTGTTACCGTAAGGCTGCCTTCCTACTAGCCCGATTGTTCTCTGAGGGCAGGGCCCAGGTCTCACCCATTTCCAAGACTCCAGCATTGCCCAACATGGAGGTTAGGAGATACTGCAGGACATTTTGTTGGAATTTAAGATGCATGGTTTATCCACAAAGGAACATGAGTTCCTAGTGCAGAGTGTAAGGAGGGCAGCAGGGCATTTCTGATCCCAAAGACTTATAAATGGTAAATAACAGTGAGGCCTGTCTCTTCCAAGCCCTGCTGAGGATATGGGGTCCAAGGTAAATGAAAGAGAACCTTGGCTTTGAGAGTACCTTGGCTTTAGGAGTACCTTGGTTTTGGGCTGGTCTTCAAGCACTTCTGGCTAACTTGGGTCTGTGGCATCTACAGACTGTGTTGACCACAGCCTGCCAAACACTCAAGAGACCAAAGCCTTTGGTTTCTACTCTGATGCCACAACCACTGTTGGCTCTTTTGACCCCCTTCTCAATATGGATTCAGTGTGAAGGTGTGTGTGTGTGTGTGTGTGTGTGTGTGTGTGTACATTGCTGATTCTAATTAGTCTCTATTTCTTTTAATTTTCATCCTTATTCCTTTCATCATCTATAAGATGATCTGGTAGCACATTCTGGTATTCTAGATGCCCTGTAGGATTGAGGATGATAGTTCCTTTAAACACTGTATGCGCCTCTCTTTGTGAGTCTTATCGCCATCCTTCTGATAGACTAGATTCCAGACACAATGGATACCCACCAATATTTGGTTCTCTGAAGATGGGCTGATTGTGGATTTTCCTGGCTCTTTAGGCTTCAGAGGCATCTTGGCTTCTTGGCTTGGTCTGACTGTAGGGTTGTTTTCTGCTTTGATTGCTGCAACTTCCTTTGTCAGCTTCATTCTGATATATTTCATTCTAAGGAAGTGACACCGCCCCCCCCGCCCCCCCGGTTAGTTCTGGCTTTCTGCCCCGCAGTGGGCTCCAGTCTTGACCAGAAGTTCTGGTTTAGAGCCTCAGTGACACCACTGGCTTGTTGTGTTATCGAGGGCAAGCCATACAGCTTCTCTGGGAATTGGTTTTATCCCCTGTAGGATGGGGAGACCTTATTTATCAGGCTGTGGGGCTCAGATGAGGTCAGCTATGAAAGGGCTTTGCAAACTGTAAAGGATTGTTATTGGTCTTTAAGTCCAGCTGATTATACTTTAAAAATAGCTCCCCAGTTTGCCCTGCTGCTTTGCGCCTCTCCCTTATCACCCCTTATAGTTAGTCAGTCCCAAGTCCCATCTCTTTGACTGCCCCTCATCACTTGCCTGGCTCAAACCTGGCTCTCTGCTGTGTAGTCTATGGCAACAACTTCCGGCCTGGCTTCATGCCTCTGTGCCTCTGCTCTTTGGTTTCTGTGCAGACACCTTCCCCTAGGAGCTTTCCTTCCCACTTTAGCACTGTTCCATGGCTCTCAACTGAGGATTGAGTCCAAGACACTTGGACTGGCCAGAGGCCCCCCTGCCAAACTCCCTGGCCTGACCTCTGGCAACTCTGCCCTTCTCATTCTGGGCTTCTAGCCAATACATTTAGCCAACTTTCAAGAGTCTTTATGAACTAACATCAAGAAGCCTTTTCAACTTCATTTTTAGCCATTTCCAATCACTCTCAATGTACCTGACATTGCACAAAGACACTGGCAATTCCTCAAATGTGTCTCTGGGATACACATATACTACTTTCCACCAAATAAACGAGTACTCAACCCCCCTAGGCCCACTTCAGACAGTACCCTGGGGATTCCACTGCCTTCTCCAGGGCTGCCACTTCCTGCTTTACTTTCTCCTTTATGAAACTTGCTGGAAACCTCTGTCTCTGGGACCTGTATGTGGCTCAGCATTGTCCTGATGGCCCTGGACTGTGGTGGCCATTTTGTTGCCCTCTTCCCTTGCCAGACTCTAAGCATCTTGGGGGCAAGGGTCCTGTCTTTCCCTTTCCATGGCAGTCTTGCAGGGCCTGCCAGGTAGAATTTTATCCCTGGTACTCACATGAGTGGGGAGAAGCAGAGGAACATCAATGCAGTTGCAATGGCTCCATAGACAATGCCCTGGATCAGCCCATTAATGAAGGTCTTGCTGGATGAAGGACTCTTTCCTGGAAAAAGAGAGCTTGTGAGAAAGGCTTCTCTCCTGAGGCCTTGGAATTGGGAGTCAAAGTTCTTCTTCCTCCCCATTTCACTCTTCCTCACACAGTCACTGGGCCCCCTCTATCCTCACTTGGTATCAGTAGGATGCTCAAAGCATGGATTCCATTTTGGTTCTTCCCCTTACAGAGAAGCTTCGTGCTCTTTTTTGGCTTCTCCGCCAAGCTGATGGTGCTGTTGGCCCAGGGGGCAATTATGATGGAAGTCACCTGGAGGTCGCCATCTGTGTTGTTCTCATCCACAAGAGAACCTTCCATCCACCACTGCACGGAGGGTGTGGGGATCCCACGGAAGGAACAGCTGCACTGCAGAGTCCTCTCCATGGAGCAAGAGGAATAGAGTAGCCTGGTGGGGGCTGTGGGGAGGGAGGGTCAGCAGTTAGCAAGGCATCCTTGCTTCCTTTCTCCACTTCTCCAGGACCCAGCCTTCTCCTTATTTGTGATTCCCAAGGAACTTTGGAAAGACCGTCTGGAAGCCCAGAGGAGTCAGGCTTCACAGACCAGTTCCTCTTCATCCTCTTCCTCACCTGGCCTGAAAGTGAACACTGGACTTGACTAATGGCAAGGGAAATTTCTGAGGATCTGCTCTGCTGACTCCTTACCTGTCCCCTACCGCCAGGCCCAGGCTAGACTTCCCTGCCTCAGCTCCTACTTTCCTCTTCCTTCCATCCTTCAAGCTCTGCTCCTTCCTAGCTCCACCTGTGATCAATTTCTCCTGTCTGGATGCTGGTGGCCAAGTCACTTCCCCTCTCTTTGTTCTTTCCCAGTTTGGAAAATAGGGGTATTTGCTGAACCTGTATCCTGCTATCATGGATATAAAAATGAATGCCCTAAGGTTGACAGTCTTACTAGCTGAATATATGGTAAAGTGTTATCCACTCAATAAACAGAACACCTTTCTAGACTTTTTCCTTCCCAGCCCCAGGTTGCCTTTGATTGAGCATTCATCCTAAGCAGAGATTGCTTTGGCATTTTCTGGGTAAGAATATTTGAGCCTGCCTCACTCTATGTAGAACAGGTAGGATATATTGTCCACTTGGTGATTTTGTCAGTTAATAAGAAACGGTCACACTCTACAAGGTCTCCAATTAGGAATCAGTTCTTAGTGTTTCCACATGCTTTTCCACTGGAGTTGTTTGAGGTTACTAGAAGAAAGGGCTAATTTTCTCTTAAACAGTAGCCCTTGATTTGAACTTTTTATCTGGGTCACTTGGGGGGATGAAGAATTTGCAGGGACTCCCCCACTGCTGTCCTCTGGATTATTTTTACATCTGGGAAAGCATGCCTGTGGACAGTGGCCAGCAGATATGGGCAACCTGACTAACCCTGGGCCTTCTAGTTCCTAATGCTCTCATCTCTTCAACCACCCTGGCTGAGTGTCCACCCTCACTCCCAACTCTGCTCTCTGGCCCAATCTGCTATTCACCCCAGCCGCTCCCAGCCCTGCCAGGACCCAGTGCACAGATATCTGGTCCGTATTGGTTATTTGGTACCCTACACCCTTCTGTCCTCTCTTCTCATACCCCCGCAGCCCAGCCCGCCCCAGTCCTGGAGCCTCAGGCACCTCCAGAACTCACTTGTCCCACTCACCCAGCTGTGGCAGGGGTTCTGCCATTTGCAGCAGCAGTGGTCCTCAGGAAGAAGAGGGGCTAGGGCCTTCGCCGCAGCTGGCTCTCACATCAGAGCCGTGTGGTTCAGAAGATGAGAAGATGAGTAACTGAAAGAGGATGTGGGGATGGGAGAGCAGAAAGTATTCTTAGCAAGCCACAGGCTTTAATCTCTGGTCATCCCAGAAGCCTGTTTGCCCTCAGAAGCAGCAATCACATGGGATGAGACGTTCAAGAGCATCAAGGGACAGGCAGCTCCCCTACGACCTCTGTGAGGCCCCAATGCCACGTGTCCTTCTCTCTCCTCTGGTCTTTCCCTCCTAGTCCTAGCCCACTTGGGAGGAGCTCATTTACAGAGTCTTTGGGTTCTGTCTCAAAGCTAATAGGGATTCATGAAAGGGCTGTGTACCTCAGAAGGGCAGGGCCAATCTGGGTGTTTGGAATAACCCACTGGGGACCCAGGAGAAATGGCCTAGACTGGAGCAACTCCGGCCAGGTGGCCAGGGAGGAGCCTGGAATGCTGGTTGGGAAAGAATGACATGCTGGAGTTACTGTGTGGGTTGTGAGGGATGGAGAGGGTGGAAAAGCCTTAACAGATCCTTTGGGAAAACGAAAATGAATAGGAATTCCTACTGCTGATAAGAAAAGGTCCAATTATCATATGGTTTCATTTATTTGTGGAGCATAACAAATAGCATGGAGGACATGGGGAGTTAGGAGAAGGGAGTTGGGGGAAATTGGAAGGGGAGGTGAACCATGAGAGACTATGGACTCTGAAAAACAATCTGAAGGGTTTGAAGAGGTGAGGGGGTGGGAGGTTGGGGGAACCAGGTGGTGGGTATTAGAGAGGGCACGGACTGCATGGAGCACTGGGTGTGGTACAAAAACAATGAATACTGTTATGTTGAAAATAAATTAAAAAAGTGATTAAAATAAAAAAAATTAAAAAAATAAATAAATTTAAAAAAAAAAGAAAAATTCCAAACTTCTTTGTTTTGTAAATGAGTTTCTCCACAATTTGCCTCACCCTTGCTTTCTGTCTCCCTGGGCCTTTCCCAACATTTTCCATGCCAAAGGGAAAATGCTGCCTTCTCCAATGTTCACCCTCATCATTCTTTTCCAATCATTCAGGGATTTCTCCCTTCCACAGCTTTTCCTCTTGCAACTCCGCTCCATCCACATTCACATCCTACTTCAATTTCAGAGCTGAGTTCAGTGCCATCTCCTGCATGCAGCCTTTCCTGATCTCCGCACCCAGTTAGAAGTGGGTAAATCTCTCCCCTTTGAGAATTACTAAGTTGTTTCGTTTGTTGTTTTTTGAGGAAAGAATCCGTTTTCTCCACCTACTAGAGTTACTTGTTTTTGAGCAGCCAGACAACATCTACCTGCTCTGCTCTCTGTTCCTAACAAATCCAACTTTGTTTAGGGGTGCAATGTTGAAAGCTAAAGCACCACTTTGTCTAGACTCCTTTGTAGTTAAGATGGGGCATGTGACATTGTTTTAGTGGAAGTGAGCTGGGGATTCCTGGGAAAGTTTTCCTTTCTTGATATTCTCATTTCCTTCTTCCTTGTCACTTCCTTCTCCTTCTTCCCTGAAATATGGGTATGATACTAGAGGTCGAGCAGCCATTTGGCAGCCATGAGGTAAGCACAAGGATGAATGCCACTCATGAAGGACATTCTTGCAGAACAATTTGGGGAGCGTGGTCCCTGACGGCCTTGTGGAACTGCTGCACTAGCTCCTCACAGCCTATCTCTGTCCATCTCCTTACATGAGAAAGACAAACTCTCATTTGGTCAGGTCACTTTTGTTGGGAAACTAACGAAGTGTCTTAGAAGAGAATCTACCTGAGACTCAGCTCTTTAAGGCAAGGCCCTACATCAAACAGACCTTTGTGACCTCAGAAGAGCTTAGAAAATGACCTTTGATAGTCACTGATAAAATGTTCAAATGTCAGTCTCACTTTTTATGAAACAATCCTCACCTCCCCCCACTTTTTTGGCAAAGCATTGATTTAAGAGCAAGAGCCCAGGATTTGAACACCAATTATGTAAGCTATGTCACTGATTCACTGGAGGACCACAGACGAATCCATTCCCTCTCTGGGCCATGAGTCCCTCATTTCTGCATTAATTCCTGGAAAAGGCAGGATGAGGGGATGTGTCCCCAGTCTATAAGACTTTGGGGCAGACACTGCTGGCTTCTGACTCAACAGGTATTCCAGCACCATTGTCCCTGTTGCCTCCACTATAGAGACTGAAGATAATAAATATTAAAGTTCCCAGGTTCCCTTACATGTATATCCTGGTAGTCAGGTGACACGGATCTGGTCAAAGAAAAAACCTTCCCAACCATACTGATATTTTATTGTTCAGAAAGGTCATTTAAACCTAGAAGGGAAAAAGAAAGCAAAACCCTAAAACTGAACACAAACAAGATCTAGTAAACAAATGAAAACAATGATAACAGAACAATTCTGGAAGAATATATATTTCAAGTAACCTTTGAACATAGACCTCTGGCTGTAGGGTTTTAAGGGAGACAAAGAAAGCTATCAGTATTGGTATTGTAATTTTGAAACCACTTATGTTTTAAAGATTTTCATAGTAATGAAAAAGAAAAATAATATAAAATACAATAATTTAAGAGAAGAAAGTAAAGTTTAAATTTAATTAGCAATATTGGTACAAACTTTTGGTTTTAAAAAACACATTCTAGGGGCGCCTTGGTGGCTCAGTGGGTTAAAGCCTCTGCCTTCAGCTCAGGTCCTGATCTCAGGGTCCTGGGATTGAGTCCTTCATTGGGCTCTCTGCTCAGCAGGGAGCCTGCTTCCCACCCCTGCCCTCCACTTGCCTCTCTGCCTACTTGTGATCTCTGTCAAATAAATAAATAAATAAATAAATAAATAAATAAATAAATAAATAATCTTTTTTTTAAAAGTATTGTTTCTTTAAAAAAAAAAGAAAAAAAAGAAAAAAAACAAATTCTAGTTCCATATTCTGTTCATTGAAATAGCCTAGAAGCGATGACACATCCATAGTGGTAAACATCCCTAGCACCTATATCTTGGTTTCTAAATAATATCCATATTAATAACCTGCATAAACCAACTTTTTTCAAAAGCTGATTATTAAGTTTTTAAGAATACTGCAAGCCAGTTGTCAAACACAGCCATTATTATAATTTAAATTATATAAACTCACAAATTATATTAAAAACAAAGGCAGTAATTACTTGAAACTACTGCCTAATTTTTCTAGCACATCTCACTGTTATCTGTGTTCTTGAGGTTATTTACATCTATTGTATTTGTATGATGGAAATACTACATAATGGTGTGTTATTGGATCTCTTCCTAACTTCATATCATGAGTTGGTAGCCTGAAATTGTCTATGGTCAGAGTGTCTACACAGTGGAAGTTGGCAATGCTACAATTCAGGGCTTCTTTTTCCCTTTGGAGATCTGGTTATCAAATATTTACTAGCATACCATTGCTAATATTTCCCACTCAAAGGAAACCATTCATCTTGCAACAGCCTTCCATAAACCAAACAGCTCTCATTCGAGAGCTATTCACTGCTATCACCCTAGTGGCAATAGGATCTGGCAGCTCCTCAGGTGGTAAAAAAAAGGGTGGGGGGAGACCACCTGCTCGTCAATGCGTTGAGTACCTCCTCATATCCCCTTGGTAGCATGTTCCTCTATAAACCATTTCCATTTTATTACTGAACTCCTCTGGGCATGGCCTTCCTAATTAGCATGTTTATCCAACATTACCGAAGATAATTATGAGTGTTTTAGGTTTCAGGATTATTTTACTTCCTTTAGTCTTATGGGCAGGTTCAATCAAAGTCCAATAGCAGCTCATTGTCTCTCAAATGGAAATTTTCTGATTTAAAAAAAAAAAACAGGAGTGGCCACTGGGTGGTGCTCACTGGCTTTTGTCTGCATAAGGACTCCAAGACTTCATTCGAGTAATTTTATGGTTTGGGGTTAGCCATATCCCCAAATGTTGAATATGTGTCATCCAAAATCCAAATAAACCAATCAAACACTAGGCTTCTGACATGCCTTTTTCATCAGATATCTTATATTTTTCAAATTAATAACCTGTGTGAGCTTGGACAAGTTTATTGGTTCCCATTTAGCATGTCCTATCAAAGTGGTTGAAGGGAGGATTTACATGCCTCCTGTTTCATAATACATGTCCTGTTTTAGACACAGTATCTACTTATATTTAGAAAAAGGAGGAGACACAATGGCTTTACCTAAAATCTGTTCAAGTATTCCATTTTTCATCTAAACCCTCATTTTAATCCCCTCAATCCTTGTATTCTCATATCTTCCCAATCTAACTATAATTCTCACTAGGACTCACAATGCATGGGCCTCCTGGTTTAAAGAGTCCCAGAAATTCTTCTCCAGACCCTTTTACCACTAATGTTCCTATGGCTTTGAATCTCCAGCTGGGCATGGAGCCAAGGGACCCCCGCTTTTTTACCAATCTTTATCTTGATTAGATAATGGAATCATCACCTCAGGCAATTTGAAGTTAGGGTCCCATTGTCACATTTGCCTTCTGGCTTTTGAAATTCCTCTGACCTAGGGTAACTATAGAATGACTTGACTAAGATCCTTCAAAGTTGAGAGACCATCTGGGGTTCCCCCCCGACCCCACCCACCCAAACTCCCAAGAGCACTGCACTAAGATCTTTGTTTTGACCCCATCAATGTCCACTCTATTTCTTAGTAAGTGTTTAAAGATTTCCCTCTCCACTGGGATGAGTTCCTTTGACACTTCCCTTCATCTTTCCTTTTTTTCTTTTTAAGGTTTTATTTATTTATTTAAGAGAGAGATTGCATGACTGGGGGGAGGAATAGAGGGGAAGGGACAAGCTGAGCATGGAGCCCAACACGGGGCTTGATCCCACAACCCTGAGATCATACCTGAGCCAAAATCAAGACCCGGATGCTTAACTGACTGAGCCACCCAGGGACCCCTCTCC